CCCCGTTAAAATCGCATTTAGACATTTTTGCGAACACACGTTTGCGCGCGCCTGGTGTGTGGACGAGGGAAAAAACTACTGTATACTGTGAAAATTGCTAGTGATAGTCTGTTTAGTCAACTTCCCTCAGCAAGATAGGCCGCCTGCTTGAAGGGCAGCCCTTGAAATCAGCTGCTTGTCTGACCAATGCCAGGCGCCCGAGCCAACGTGCATAATTGCCCAGTAATGCCTGGGAGACGAAGGTGATTTGTGCCCTATTGATTAACACGTCTTCAGCAGGAGTTCAAACAAGAAACAAATGTTGCCCTTGAAAGCCATAAAGGAGGGCCTTACTGTCGCACACATAGCTCCATCAGGACAGGGCTGACGCGACCTTTAAAGGAGGCACGCGGAATGTAATAATCCATGTGATTCAGAAGCAAGATTTGTTACTTTTACGGTGCAAAACACCGTAAGAACTGGCGGCTCTTGGAGTTGCACATGACGATGGTTCGGTGACTGCATTTCGACTCTCTAGTTGCCTGCGTAACACGTTCACGCTGACACCAAGTTTATGTTTAGCGTGGCATAAACGATGCGGTCCTAACGTTTGCCAGTAAGACCTTTGATGCGTACTTCGTTTACAGTGGATGTAAAAGCTTCAGATTATGTAAAAAATGAAACACTGTTATCCGCCAGATAATCTAGGAATTCGCATTCAATTCTGCTTCAGGGACCGCCTGACGCTCAATTTATCTTCAGGCGATTTATGCCAAGACTTAACTACTTTTTTAAAATTTGCAAAAATTCCCATCTCCTAAAAGACAAAATTTTCGAGAATACCTTAGTTCTTATCAGGGTCCGATTTCGAGGGAACGCGCCAAGTGAACTTCTAAGAAGGCGCCTGAGTCAATCTGCATCAAACACCTTTCCAACAGGTTACACCCATGTACTCTTTTTGACTACCCTCATCCTATACGGAGACATCAAGGGCAAAATACCAACTCAGACCACCTCTATTAATGCGCCTGCTTATGTGGGGCGGCATTATTTCATGGCAAGCTCCGGAGTTTGTCCAAAATAGTACGAGAACACATAACAACATGCTTAGGGAAGGGCCGAATGAAGAACATTATCAATTCCATCTTGGCGGGTATGGTAGACGCAGAACATCGCGTGGATATCAACAACAGTTACCGAGCGATCTACAAGGTGCCTACGAGCTATTAAAGATGACATGGATAACATCTGTTTGCTACAGCAGAAGCAGCTGCCATCCGACCACGCAGACCGGTCCTGTACGCCCTAAAGAACTTCATAATGGTTTTGCAGTTACCATGGCCTATATTCGTTGATTCAGCCCTCAGCAGCTCATCACCTGTCTCGGCTGCGAGTCCCCCTGAAGCCGACCGGTTGACCTCAATCTCCCCCTACGCCCACCGGCACTGAAATCCGCACTACTTTGTTCTACCAACCCGCACAGTTTATTCAGTTAAGTACCACATAAATATATCGAATTTAGCGAAAGCAAACGTATGCTCACCCGAGCACCAGATCAATTGAATTTTTGTTCTGAGCTTTCGAGCTCTTACGGGAGTCCACCTTCAGAAATGAGAAAGTAACCAAAAAGAGGGTACTTATAGTGCCCA